TTATGTGTACACATACACAATGAATCAGAATTATGGTTTGTGTCAACAGATGTGCCACAGATGCTGTCCATAGGCATTATGAAGCAGAATCACATACTTTCATGAACATCACAGTCTGTTCACTGACCACCTAATGTAACTGGGCACAAAACTGACAAGAGCTTTCTCAAGCTGAAAAGATCCAATCTGATTTCAGTTACTACTAACAGGTGTTACAGATGATTTTTAGACACTGGGTTGCTGCCTGCATAGAGCTTTCCAAACAGTCCTATGAGGCTTTATTTCAGTTTGAATGTTGTCTTATAAACTTACTTTGAATTGAATTGGAATCATAGTCCCTGACTTTTTGGGCAGTGCATTTAATACAGATTTACTGTACTTAATGTGCGTTCCTGTGGAGGTAACAAACCTCAGTACTCAAGGGGGCGATATAGTTACCGACAAATGTCTGTGCTGTTAAAGCAGATGTTTATTGGCTAAAATAGCTAGCCAGCTATAAACATGTCAAAAGGTATATTCTTTATATATTCTATATTCTACAGAGAAATGCAGGTGTCTAATTTATTAATTTATGGCGCATAAATACAGTTTAGGAACATATTTTAGGTCTAAATGTATGATTATTATTATGATTGAGCAATTGCATGTTAGTACAACAAGAGTTTAGATTTAGTTGGTCAGATAGCTTCTTTCTCACATACTACTTCTGTCAGCTTATAGGGTCAGCCAGTGATGTAAAACAGTTATGTAAAATGATTACATGTTGCTGTGCCAAATTAAAAATCTCAAATTATCCTTAATTGTATATCAACATCGTGCATCTGCTGTTTGCAGAAACTGATCCTTCAGTTGCACTGAATTATATAAAGAGAAAAATGTGAAGCATATGAGAAACATTTAGAACTAAAATTACATCAAGATCGTGCTGGCAAAGATGTTAGTTAGCTAGACATAATGACTTTGTGTAAATCTTGGACGCTTTATTCTCATATGTTCTAACTTAAATGATGAGCTGTTGTGAGGCGCTAATCAGGTTTGGTCATACAGACAAACAACTACACGTGACATTTTCATGGACATGTTTGTTTGTGGGATGCTCATTCATGTTTTCCATGTCTAATATACAGTAATTAAGGATACACATCATAGTTTATGACGGAAATACACCATGTTGAAAAAATGTATACTGTAACTCTCATACAGGAATTCATGTACATACATATACTGCATTTATACACAAATCACAAACATAATAACATTCACTATCTGCCCAGAGAAAATTTCTACAACACACTCTCAGAAAAACGGTACTAAGGTGGTGCCCTTTCAAACGGTATTAATATGAACACGCTGGGTACTAATATTGTACTTTTTAAGAACTAATATGTGCCCAAATGTCCCCACAAGCACAGTAACACCAGTAAACTTTGACCTTGTGGGACATTGTTTAGGTCCCCATCAGGAAAACAGCTCATAATTCATACAGAATGACATTTTTGAGAATATAAAAATGCAGTGTGTTTTGTGTGAGGGGTAGGTTTAGGATTAGGGTAAGGGGATAAAAAATACAATTTGTACAGTAGAAAACCCATTACACCTATACAATGTCCCCTTAATTATAGGGATACCAGTGTGTGTGTGTGTGTGTGTGTGCGTGCGTGCGTGCGTGCGTGCGTGCGTGCGTGCGTGCGTGCGTGCGTGCGTGCGTGCGTGCGTGCGTGCGTGCGTGCGTGCGTGCGTGCGTGCGTGCGTGCGTGCGTGCGTGCGTGCGTGCGTGCGTGTGTGTGTGTGTGTTCAATAATGAGTCAACATGCAATTCATAATGCAACTCACATGTACCTGTCATTGGTAGTTCACATTAGCACAAAATCTTTTCAAACATTCCCTTGTGAAAAATAAGTGTGCATAATTGTATTGAATGTGCACTTATAGTGCACTTAAAATAATAACAAGTAATAACAATAAACTATGCATAATAACCCTAAACCAAACCCTAATCCTAACCCTAGCCATATAGTAAGTACATGTTGTTAATTAATATTACTCAGTACTTAAATGTATAACTACACTGTAACATGGACACCTTAAAATAGTGTAACCAAAAAATCATGTAATATTAATTACCTCAAAGGCCACTTAAGTGAACTTAAAAAGAGAACTTCTTCTCTGTTTTAACACACTGTTTTAACACACTTAAGTATGCTTTTAAAAAATTAAAGTTTTGCTTCAAAATACATTTTAAATCAAAATGTTTTAATCTGTCATCCTTAAAGAAGAATTCTAATTTCTTGACGAACATACTACATTATTGCATTTACAGTTAACGCAGTATATTTAAAATGTACTAAATTGTAACTTCATCATTACTAATGTGTAATTACAAATATGTTTATATACACGACATACACATTTCAATAGAAATGGCAAAGTGTTTTGAAATACTATATTTTAGTTGACCACAAATGCATGTCAATACATTTAGCAGCACACTTTAATCATATTTCAAAGACAACAGAAGAATTATGAAATTACATATAAAGTCATATAGGTAATCATAAGTCTTGCTTAAGTGGATTTTAAAAATCTACAAACACTTTAAAAATATCAAAACATATTTTAAAAACGTATAATATAATAACCCTAACCCTAATATAATATAATATAATATAATATAATATAATATAATATAATATAATATAATATAATATAATATAATATAATATAATATAATATAATATAAATTTAAACTATAATACATTTGGGTAACACTTTATTTTAAGGTTTCCTTGTTACACGTTACATGTAATTACTATTATAATTACAATAAATTACGCATAATTACATGCAAGTAACCCTAAACCAAACCCTAATCCTAATCCTAACCATTTAGTAAGTACATGTAATTAATTAATATTACTCAGTACTTAAATGTAGAATTACACTGTAATAAGGACACCTTAAAATAAAGTGTAACCTACATTTTCATTCAGTTGTAAATAACATTTAATTAAGTATTCAAAGACATTACATTCATTTTCCACTTAAGTGTATTCTTTTAAAGTGTATTACTTTTGTCATAAGTACTCTTTTTAAAAGTATGCCAAAGTGTACTTCTTTTTCACAAGGGTTGTCCAAGCAGAGAACATTTCCCTTTGTTTGTCCAATATTGGATGCATGAAATATCTTCACTGGGCTCATCGTAATGCATTCTGGGATTGTCTTCTCCTTGAAGGACAGATGCTGCCTTAGATTGTGGTCAAAAGAAGTTATCTTAGAAGGCAGTATATTCACGCTGTCTACCGTTTGGAGCAGCCTTCGCATCGGGAGCATGCCAAAGATGCCTTAAAATGCTGTCTATGTGGGCAGCTCACTAGAAACAGATTTAGAAGAGAGAGATGCAGGCTGCTGTGATTTACCCGACCCACCAACATAAACATGTCCAGAACCGGTGTGTGTCGCAGCAGAAACTGCTCAGAACATGGGTCACTGAGGACAGATGAGGCAGATACAACATCACTGCCAACAACTGCAAACTGCATTTGATAGCACTGGTATTTCAGGATTCCTGGATGCCAGTAGGTCTTTGATGTGGATTTTCTCAACATGCCAACTACTTATCTTTGAGCCGGATTCAAATTGCTCCAGGATGACTTTTGGAACAAAACTTCTGTGTTGATTTCAGGCCTTATGCCGACTTTGTGATTTTTGGACATTTATACTGACTTCAGACAAACAGAATACTGTATACATTAAGTGTAATATTTCTTTAGAGTCCATTCCAAATAACTGTAATGGTGGCAAAACAGATTCACAATGGCAATGGTACATCATCAAAGTTAAGAGTCCTAATTGTAATGTGTAAATACAAAAATTTACAAATTACTTTCTTTTTTTTTTTTGCCCATATTTTGCCGTTTTTAGGTGGCCTCAACTACTATGTAATTAACCATTTAAAGCAATTTACTTATTATGTCCATACATACTGGTGCACTGTAAGCACATTTCAAGAACTTTTGTATGCATTTAATTAATTTTTGTACTTGCACTGTTAAATTTGCCCCAAACGTAACCCAAACCCTTACCTCAAAAACTAACTCTAACCCTTATAAGCTTAACCCTAACCCTACTCTTACTCCTAAACATAACCATACCTCAAACTCATTGCCATTATATGAAGGAATTTGTAGTGACACAGTAAATCTATAGTCTTGTAGGTATTTTAAGGGATAGTTCACCCAAATATGCATGCATATTACTAGCATGTTGGCTGTTCAATAGTACTTATAAAGCACATATTAATGCATGACCATATTCTAGATCCTTAGTCCTATCCAATGCCTAAACATAACTACTACAACAACTACTTACTGTGAACAAGCAGCAAATTAGAAGTTTATTGAGAGAAAAGTCTTAATAGTGTTAATAGTGTTAATAGTGAATGTGTGTTCCCTAATCTAATGTGTTACCAATTGTGTAATGTGTTCTTTACTCTTCACCTGAAGAATAATGTCACATACATCTTAGATGTCAGCAACATTTATTTTTTTTATTTTTTGTAAACTCTATTTAATGTTACTACCTAGTAGTTGTGACCACATTTTTATTAAAATTTATGTGAGCATAAAGGGAAATGTTGATCTGTTTATCTGAAAGTGTTTAAATGTTTAGTTTTATTAATTAAAGAAAAAAGTTTGTATCCTCTTTTAATCACTTTTTTTTAGTTAATTAATTAATAATCCTGAGTTGAATTAATTTATGTAAGTACAAACATTACATGTAGTCTCTCAATGAATCTGAACTCCAAAAAACTGCATGTGTAATGATAAATAAATCAGAAAATGTTGTTTAAAACCATTGCAGATGAAGCATGTGAAACTGCAGGACACTGCTGTCAATTTTTCATCTTTCATTCCTTGTGCAGTGCACACATAAATGCTTGATAAATCAGGCTTCTGTGCCGTAAGTACACACATACAAATACAGCTTTACTGGTGACTTACTTATGGTGACCCGTTGGTTTTCCAGGGTTGTATTGCGGGACGATCCCAGACTTGTGTAGATTATATCTGTATGGGCTTCCATAGAGAGTTCCTTTGGCATCCGCCGAAGTCAGTAGCAACGTGACTAAGAGAAGACCCCCGCACTCGAATATCCCCCTCATCTTTAAGTAGCAGAGCAAAGGTTGACAAAAACACTTGCAGAAAGAACCATAAAGTGGAAGAGCACAGAGAAAGTGTATAGAAAGCAAAAGCTGTGGAGAGAGGGGGGAAGCAAAGCCAGCTGGGCTTTAGAGTCCGGAGGTTGTGAAGTGTTGCTTGTTTTCCTTGCTGAGTCCCACAAGGTTTCTCTGGAGCACTGACTTCAGTTGTTGGCGGGCAAGCAGCGCTGCAATCGAAACATCTGCTGTTCTGGCACCATCCTGCCCACTTTACCACTCACACAAGAGAGAGAGACAGGCAGAGGAGAAAGCGAAGAGGACAGGGCAGCGGTAGCAGAATACTGAAGCTCAGATCCCTCTATCAACAGTCCAGCGCGAGTCGACCCTGCAGCTGCAGCTCTGAGGGGGACGCTTGCATTTGCATATCCCTCCCCAAACCCTGGCCTCAAATGAGACCCAGCAGGGATGAACCCGTTCACTTTATGTTTCTCCCAAAACAGAAACCCCTGGAACCCCTCAAAGACGAGAGCGCATTTAGAAAGATTAACCAACGCAATTGTCTCCCTGCTCGTTCGTTTGGACGCAGTTTTAATAGGTGGCTCATATGTAAAAAGCATGCTGGGATTATGAATATTTCCTTTGGGTTCCTCTGTGCCAAAATCTCCACCCCCCTTCATTGACCTCAGCCCATAACCTTCTCACTTGCCTGCAGCTATAAATCTACAAACATTTCTTTTGCAGGCATTATCTCAGCATAACTTCTGCACTCGTAAAAACCAAATACATGTTGTTGCATTAAACAGAATTTTCAAAACATTTTCCATTGATTTTCATGCCTAATCTTTATTCATTATTCTGCATGTCACCACGTCTGATATGCACATATGTTAACACACTTGTTTAGGGACTAATTCTCACTATTAATTAGTTGCTTATTAGCATGCATATTACTAGCATATTGGCTGTTTATTATGAAGCACATATTAATACCTTATTCTGCATGATCATATTGTATATCCCTTAATCCAACCCAATACCTAAACTTAACAACTACCATACTAACTATTAATAAGCAGCAAATTAGGAGTTTATTAAGGCAAAGTTGTAGATAATAGTTAGTTAATAGCAGTGGTGGAAAGAGTACTGAAAAAATATACTCAAGTAAAAGTACCATTACCTTCCAAAAAATGTAGTGTGAGTAGAGTAAAAGTACTTGTCCAAAAAACTACTTGCGGTTAAAGTTTTCTATGCACAATTTGATTTGACGAAAGTCACGAGACTGTTACTATCTATCCAATCATGTTGATGGATAAAAATACAATTAAAATAAGCATGTAACGACCACAAACGGAGGAAAATAGCGGAGTAAAAGTACCGATACATCACTTAAAATGTACTCAAGTAAAAGTAAAAGTACACAATTTTTAAACTACTCAAAAAAGTACAATTACTGATAAAAACTACTTAATTACTGTAACGTGAGTATTTGTAATTCGTTACTTCACACCCCTGGTTAATAGTGAGAATTGGTCCCCAAACTAAAGTGTGACTGTGCATATTAAGTTTATTCTACATGTTGTATTATGCTTTTGATATATAGGATGTGCCTGTTATGGCCACTGTGAGTGCATTTATTACCAATCATACATTTATTGAGCATTACAAATATCCATAATACAGGAAAGAAAACTCTACTTGTCACTCCATTTCAGGGAATCTTTATGTGATCATATTGCTTTCGTAAATCTTTGATGTGTCGCACGTTTTCCACACATTTAACGATATGAATTGGCATTTGCAATGCTTTTAATTTTCATAATATGACATATTAAGTGAAAAAGAGGAATAGGTGGGAAATAATGTAGGGGTGGACACAATTTTATTCACTGTAAAAAGTGGGCTATGATATCATTGGTAAGCCTTTTTCTGGCCACCTGAGTTATTTGATTTTATATGATGTTTTTGATGGAATTTTTTTATTATGCCTTTATTATTCAGATAGGACAGTTGAGAGATGACAGGAAAGCATTGGGTAGAGAAAGGGGAGCGGGAACGGCATAAGACCTCGAGACGGGAATCGAACTCGGGTCGCCGTGAGCACAGTTATGCTGTATAAGTCGGCTCACTAACCACGAGGCTATTGGCGCCGACTTGAAGGAAAATTTCATCTGTTAACTTGATTAAGTTAATAATTTTGATTGTGTAAACAATTTCTACACAAACCTGCGGTGAAAACCTCCAGTAACTCATGCACAGTAAAGCCTTCTACACACTGCAAAATTTTCGGCTGTGCCAGACGAAAGATTAATATCGTGAAACAATCGTGGCCATTTCTGTGATCGTGGCTCCTAAACGGTGGTCCTATGTCGTATAGTGAGAGAGGTTCAAAGACAGTGTCAGAAATTCAGCAGGACCATCGCACAGTGTGTTTGCTGCTACGAGCCACATTTACTGACCTGCCAATAAAAATGCAACATGAAATGGCATGTTGATAACTGCGACATAGTGCTAAAACTTAAAGGGTTAGCTCACCCAAAAATGAAAATTAGCCCATGTTTTACTCACCCTCAAAGCATCCTAAGTGTATATGACTTTCTTCTTTCAAACGAATCCAATCGAAGTTATATTAAAAATTATCCTTGCTCTTCCAAGTGTTAGAATGGGAGTAGGCGGGTGTTTTTGTTCATCACCAAAAGTAGTCAAATAAAGAGCATCCATCCATATTAAACGTGCCTCACACAGCTCCGGGGGGTGAATAAAGGCGCTGCGTTTTTATAAGAAAAATATCCATATTTCAAATGTTATAAACACTTTTCTCTCACTTCCACTAACTGTCGTAGGCGGATGACGTATAGGATGTAGGTGTAGCGCATCCTCCGTTTGTGTTTATAAAAAAGTGTTATGTTTAACGTTTAAATATGGATATTTTTCTTACAAAAACGCATTGATTGCTATTGAAAAGACCAATCTAAACAGCCCGAGCTTGTGTGATAAACAGCAATAATGTATAACTAAATGTGACCCTGGAGCACAAAAGCAGTCTTAAGTCGCTGGGGTATATTTGTAGCAATAGCCAACAATACATTGTATGGGTCAAAATTATTGATTTTTCTTTTATGCCAAAAATCATTCGGATATTAAATAAAGATCATGTTCCATGAAGATATTTCATAAATTTCCTACTGTAAATATATCAAAACTTAATTTTTGATAAATATTTGAGTAATATGCATTGCTAAGAACTTCATTTGGACAACTTTAAAGGAGATTTTCTCAATATTTTGATTTTTTTTTTTGCACCCTCAGATTCCAGATTTTCAAATAATTGTATCTCAGCCAAATATTGTCCTATCCTAACAAACCATACATCAATGGAAAGCTTATTTATTGAGCTTTCAGGTGATGTATAAATCTCAATTTCGAAAAATTTACCCTAATGACTGGTTTTGTGGTCCAAGGTCACAAATAAATTCATGAGGACAAGATCTGGACCTGATCTCTGACCAATCAGTGACCAGTCAAATCCAGTTTTAGGTCATGGTGGGGCATGACAGACAATTCAAGACAGTATGTTACAGGATCAGTAGTATTTCTTCATCCAATAACAGTTCCTCGAAGTTTACTGAGCCCACGAGGAAAAGCACTTCTCTCGTAGGTGTCAGGAGATCACATTTACAATGTCATGTTTGCTTTTCATTCACACATAATTATCTAAAGCAAAGAGCGCCAAGCAGTCTTATTTGCAGAAAGCTTCTTGCAAGAATGCACCAATGCAAAGAGACCAAATGCACTCAGTTTTACTCACACGTACTGATGACAAACTTCACGTGCAATTAAGTGTCAGAAATCACTGCATTTAGTTCACACTTAAGTATTCTTTTAAAGTATGTCTGTATTAAGTACTATTTTTACAAGTATGTGAAAGTGTACTTCTTTTTCACATGGGTAGACCAAGCATTAAAAAGTAACGAAGATGGCCTCTCTAAGTCTCTCTTTTTTTAAGTTTTGAGGAATAGTTTACTCAAAAATTAAACTTTGGTGGTTACACTCTTACCTCTTTACATTCTAAACTCGTTTGCTGTTTTTTTTTTTTTACATTGAACACAAATGGAAAGCACATAATTATCTAAAGCAAAGAGCGCCAAGCAGTCTTATTTGCAGAAAGCTTCTTGCAAGAATGCACCAATGCAAAGAGACCAAATGCACTCAGTTTTACTCACACGTACTGATGACAAACTTCACGTGCAATTAAGTGTCAGAAATCACTGCATTTAGTTCACACTTAAGTATTCTTTTAAAGTATGTCTGTATTAAGTACTATTTTTACAAGTATGTGAAAGTGTACTTCTTTTTCACATGGGTAGACCAAGCATTAAAAAGTAACGAAGATGGCCTCTCTAAGTCTCTCTTTTTTTAAGTTTTGAGGAATAGTTTACTCAAAAATTAAACGTTGGTGGTTACACTCTTACCTCTTTACATTCTAAACTCGTTTGCTGTTTTTTCTTTTTTACATTGAACACAAATGGAAAGGTTTTGAATAAGCTTCATGCAGCTCTTTTCTATACAATGGCAGTTCATAGTGACATCTGTCAAGTTACAAAAATTACGATAATAAAATTGGTCAAAATTGGTTGTGTGCCACATACCAAATCTCCTGCAGTCCTGCTGTGTGATAAAGAGATTTCAGCTCTCTCTTCACTGATAATCTTCCCCTCCAGTGAAGCTCACAGCTAGAATAACTTTAATAAAATAAGTGCATAAGTTGAATTGACTGTTTAATGATATCTGTGGGCTTAACAGACAGGGTCATTATGAACTGTTTAAAACATACATGCTACATTTCTAAATTGATACAACTGATCATTTTAAACTAAAATCCATTCTTCTTCCTGAATCACTCTGTGATACACAATGAAGATGAATAGCAAACTTATAATCTTTAAACTTAAATAATTTAATTTAGTAATTTTATTACTTAGTTCTCTGTGCTCCTCACCACCCATGAAACATCTGTGAACGGTTTCAGATAAGCACACTTATCTCTACTGCCAAATCGCTTCCATGCATAGGAGAGAAATGTACTTTCATTAGCATATTTGCACTGTATTGTTCACCACATGAAAATGTTAATACATCGCAGACTTAGAAAGCCCATGTGCTCACTGTTGTCTGACTGCAGCAGGGGATTTCATTTAATGCAATAACCTCCAAACTGCAGTGCAATTTATAAACCGAGCGTCTCTGCGGATTCTTGAAATGTGTCCCGAACTGACAAGTTGTTAAAAGCACCCCAGATTTATAGAGAAAGTGTAAAACATGAGCTATTGTAACACAATCCGCACACATCTACATGCAATACGCATGAGT